AGTTGTCACTTACAGCATTACTAGATTAGTCAAGAGCATTTCATGCCTTAATAACATATGTAAGGACTAAAACACAAATGAAAGAAAAAAAATTCAAGGAAACAGCATTAGCATATTTAAGAACTAAGAAATACCTGTTTGTGATTGATTGCAAGACTGAAGAGAGCAGAAGCAGCAAAATCATTTTGAGACAGGACAGCTGCAATAGCTCCAAGTGTAAAGCCAAGACTGATGCAGTTGTACTGGAAAAAGGGATAGTTAAGAAAAAAACCCAACCAGTTCTCAGATTAAAAATGCTAACATTTGGCCCTACGACATACATAAACCAAGGCAAGATAAGAGAAATATATAGATTGGTCATATCAACACTCTTCTACATGACTCATTTTGCTTATAATTAGATCCAACAAGATGCAGCAGAATACAAAGTTTACCAAATGGTTCACATTGCATCAGCATATGCAAGAAAAAGAATGAATGTTTATTGGAGATATAAACAGAAGCACCAATGACAGAGCACAAAAAACTACAGAAAATATCCAAAATTAAGAGTTGGTGATTGCAATATCTACAAGGGGTAAAGAAGTCCATGCACTAGCCGACCTTAGTTAAACCCAGAATTAAAAAAATGAAAATTTCCTTCAGCAATAAGAACGTTGAGCAAGCAGGAAGAAACAAGTCCAAAATTTTAGTGTTAGCTGAAATAAGGGTGTTGGAAAGATAGAAAAGAAATTTGCATTTATAAGTTAAAGATGGCATCAAATGAGATAAGATGGAAGCCGATAATTTTAATTGTCATTGATAATGCAGTGAGTCAATGAAATTATCGGTTTCAGGATGCACAGAGAAAGAGAAGTGTACTTTTAGTTTGCATCCATGAACTCATAAGAGTAGCTTTAGTTGAGAATAAATGAGAGATAATTATTGATGGTGGGTTGGACACAGACAAATTGAAGTGCAGTGGTTAGGGTAGGTGCCAAGCTGAGGGAGGAGGGATAGAAGAAGAAACAAGAAGACTCTACCAACAACACTGGAAAATTTTGGTGATAATGCCCTTTAGGGATCTCAAGGTGATAAATCATCCAGTTGACCTGGGAAAAAAAAACCTAGTTTCAACCAAAGCTTGAGCTTTTAGGGCTTAAGGACCTGAAAATGGCCATGATCAACGAGGATCAAGCAAGGATTAAGCAGTATCATCGCTAGCAACCACGGCGCCGACCTTTCCTCTCCATCACCACCAACATTGCGATGAAAATAAACCCACACGAAGTAGATCGCCGCTGGAAAGAATACCAACAAGTCCGACGACAACACCGTCCATCTCATCATCAGCTTCCTGCAAGGATCCAACGATCAATCAAGAAGAGTGAGCAAAGAGGGAGGGGGTTTCGTTCAGAAATTACGATTGGTGGGACTCGAAACCGCGGGATGAAGAGAGGGCGAGGGAATGGGGGATAGAGACGTTGATGAGGAGAGCGTGGGCGAGGCTCTGGTAGGCGGTGAGCGGGGGGTAGTCGAGGCCCCAGTAGGCGAGGTCGTTGGCGGTGGTGTTGCGGTACCACTCGGCAGCGGGCGTGTGGAGGGTGATCTCCATCCAGTGCCGCTGCGCCTCGTAGTCCCCGTACGTGGGCGGCGTGCCTTGCCCCGAGTACGAGCCCAGGGACACGAGCACGCGCACCAGCAGGGCGAAGAGCGCCACCGCTGCGGCCGTGGGGGGCGTCAGCCTCATCGTCGACCAGGGGAAGGGTGCGGCACCGGGCTGCTCCTCCACTTCCGCCGCCACAAACGCCGTCGCGGGCGGCCCACTGGTCCTCCTCGTCTGCGCCATGGTTGGGACTGTGGATCTTGTCGGCCTTGGGCTTTGCTCTCGCGAAATGAAGGGTTTATTTGACCCAATTCCATGTAGCTCCCGGTTCGGTCCGGTTGGATTCCGGAAATTTCAAACCGGATCAAATGACTCCGTGAACTCCTTGAGAATATTAGTGTATCAGATAAATGTTATAATAGATATTATAACTGTGCTGTAATTTGGTCCCATCCATGGATTCGGCATCACTGCATATGACTCCGTAACTCGCACACGGATCTGCTCGTTTCTCCCCGTCCTTGTCGCGCGCTCCCTCCTCTCTCCATAAACTTGGAAGAAGCAGTTCACTGCGAGCACGGCAAGCGCGGAGAATGAGTGAACGAGAGAAAGCCTTTGAACGAGCGTCGTGGCCCGAGCAGGCCGCGGAAGCTGCCCATCTGTTCTTGGCTCCGTGGATGCCAGGCTTAAAAGGGCTCTCCTTCCTTCCCCTCTATGCCTTCCACCACCACCACCGTCACCTCCTCTCCACCAGCTTACCAGAGGAAGACAGACAGAGGTCTCCATGCTGCTCTCTTGGAGGACGAAGGGAGAAAAGGAGGAGGAGGAGAAGATGTTGCGGGCGGCGTTCGTCGTGTTGCTCTCTCTTCTCGGCCTCTCGGCTGTGCGCGCCGAGGACCCGTACCTCTACTTCACGTGGAACGTGAGCTACGGCACCATCTCCCCTCTTGGCGTCCCGCAGCAGGGCATTCTGATCAACGGCGAGTTCCCCGGCCCCAACATCAACTCCACCACCAATAACAACATCGTCATCAACGTCTACAACAACCTCGATGAGCCCTTCCTCTTCACATGGTTCGTCCTCCCCTGCATCTTTCATGCATGCCGAAGACATGATTCACTATATACTGATAAGCTCTTGATATGATGACAATGGCGATCCAATCAAATCATCTCTCTCTCAATTGCAGGAATGGGATCCAGCAGAGGAAGAACTCATGGCAGGACGGCACGGCGGGCAGCAATTGCCCCATCCTTCCCGGCAAAAACTTCACCTACCACTTCCAGGTCAAGGACCAGATCGGCAGCTTCGTCTACTTCCCCACCCTCGGCATGCAGCGGGCCGTCGGCGGCTTCGGCGGCCTCCGGGTCAACAGCCGCCTCCTCATCCCCGTCCCCTTTGATGACCCCGCCGACGACTACACCGTCCTTATCGGCGACTGGTACACCAAGAGCCACAAGATCCTCGAGAAGATCCTCGACGCCGGCCGCGCCGTCGGCCGCCCAGCTGGCCTTCTAATCAACGGCCACTCTGGAAAGAACGGCGCTGGCAAGGACGAACCCCCTCTCTTCACCATGGAGGCCAAGAAGACCTACCGCTACCGCATCTGCAACATCGGCATGAAGGTAACGCTCAACTTCCGCATCCAGTCCCATTCGATGACGCTCGTCGAGATGGACGGCTCGCACACCGTGCAGAACAACTACGACTCCCTCGACATCCACGTCGGGCAGTGCCTTTCGGTGCTTGTCACCGCCAACCAATCGCCCAGGGACTATTACATGGTGGCCTCCTCTCGCTTCACCAAGTACATGCTGACCGTCACCGGCATCGTGCGCTACGCTGGCTCCCAAACTCCGCCGTCGCAGGATCTACCAGAGGCGCCAGCCGGCTGGGCCTGGTCGTTCAACCAGTGGCGCTCCTTCCGGTGGAACCTCACCGCCAGCGCCGCCCGCCCCAACCCCCAGGGATCCTACCACTACGGCAGCATCAACATCACCCGCACTATCAGGCTCGTCAACACCATCGGGAACGTCGACGGGAAGCGCCGCTATGCGCTCAACGGCGTGTCGCACCAGGACACCGACACGCCGCTCAAGCTCGCCGAGTACTACGGCATCGCCGACAAGGTGTTCAAGTACGACATCATCAGCGACGAACCGCCGGCCGACGGCGCCCAGATCAAGCTCGCGCCTAACGTCGTAAACACAACCTTCCGGACATTCGTCGAGATCATCTTTGAGAACCCTGAGAGGAGCATGCAGGCCTACCACCTGGATGGCTACTCCTTCTTCCCCGTCGGGTGAGCTAGTGACCAGTAATTACACCACCTAGCTACGTACATGTGATTTGCGATTCCAAAATGACACGTACAAGTGAACTTGATGTGATCACATTCGACTGGGTGCAGAATGGGGCATGGGAAGTGGACGCCGGCGAGCCGGAAAACCTACAACCTGCTCGACGCGGTGAGCCGGCACACGATCCAGGTGTACCAGAGGTCGTGGTCGGCGGTCATGCTGACGTTCGACAACGCCGGGATGTGGAACCTGCGGTCGGAGCTGTGGGAGAGGCGCTACTTGGGGCAGCAGCTCTACTTCACCGTGCAGTCGCCGGCGAGGTCCCTGAGGGATGAGTACAACATGCCGGACAACGCGCTGCTCTGTGGCGACGTTGCCAATCTTCCGAAGCCGCCGTCCTACGTTTAGGCGCAAGGTCGCGGGGAACAGATAGCTAAGCTGGTATAAGTGAGGGTAGTGATGGGGGGAGGAGGGGAAGACCGATATAAGTGGCTCTTTTGAGGGCCTTCTATTTATTATTTTTGTTGTTGAGAAAAATTATTTTTTTTTTTTTTTTTTTGCCTCTTGGCTGGTTATCGGAAAGCTGTAGCAACAATTGTTGCAATCTTATTTCATAAATCATATGCGTTTGTGATTCTTAAAGTTTTTATTGTGAAATAGGTTTTCTATTTAACCTTTTCGTGCAGTGAGAGGCAATCACTTCTGGTCCAATCAATCATGTGATGAAACATCAGAATTGACTACCAGCAATGAACACGATGGATTCTACGAGTCAAAGCTGCCGATCATAGTCACTAATGGAGCATTAAGAACATCAATGTAACATATAAAAGATTCAGGTTAATCTAAAATCTGCGCATCTAAAAAACTAAAAGAGTATTGCTCTACGCAGCAGCAGCAGCAGCATCTACAAACTAAACATTCTTTGTACCGCTCCTTGGGCCTGTCAAGTTCATCGCCAATGCAGCAATTAACATCACAGAATTATGTCACCTGGTTCTGGCAATGCAGTGAATATTTTGATTCATGATATCGCCTGGCATGCCTAAAACTCCAAATTTTATGCAACTGTTCACAGTCGCAAACAAGATGAAATCTGATGATTCGACTCCGACACCACAAAGTGTTTAACGCTTCCCATATGCAAATAAAAATATCATGTAACAGAGAAACTGACTTCGAAATGAATAGGACATGGCCCTCATTGGGAATCAAAAGTTACCAGAAAATAAAATGTGGGAGAAGATTAGAGGAACAATCCACAGAGCAATATGGTCAATACGGTCAGCCACTTCCAGATGGAGAAAGGTGAAATCAAGATTTGCACCGACTTCAAACATCCGTCGTCTGCGGAAAACATTGGTATGATGTCTAATGTGCAATCATCGTTTGAAATCCTCATCCCACTTGGCAACTACAAATGCCATACCCTCAAACATCTCTCAACTGCAATGAACCAATGTCGTATCTTCGGCACTTCCAAGAGACTCCCTCGTGGCCCTTTTATATTATCATTCATTTATTCTGCTTCTGCAAGATTTATTACCTAGCTTCATTTTCCAAGTATGTCAATGCATAATCCAAACCTTCTTGATGACAAATTATAAAATTATCAGTCCCTTGCCTAAATCCTGAATATCCAAAAATTTCATAAGCTCCAATGATGCGAGCTATAAGATTACTTTGCACTCATCCATGAACCGACCGCCAGGTGCAAGAAATTTCTTCAAGTACCATTTATATTTTGGTATGCCTAGGTCAAGCCAAGGTTTCATATTGCCATTATAATGCAGTAATATAGCATTCTGGATAGCATTCTCACCGATTCCATAGTCATAGCCAAGGCCTGATAGAATCCACTTCTTCTCTAGAGGGTATATGAGATTGCTGAATGCAAGTAAGCTCGCTGGTAGTGCTGCAGCTCTCCAAGATACTTCACCATTCGTTTGCAACTGTCATGATGGGAAGAAAAAAAAATGTCAGTAGGGAAATAAAACTACATATCAGTGAGCCTCAATACAAACTCAGGTTAGGCATCGAAAATCTAGGCACAGTTCTATGCCATTTACAAGAGAGAGTAGTCACCAATCAGACCCTGTATCAATTTAGATAATGCTACAGAGTTAACATCTAGCATTCTTCAGATAAGCCCATCTTTACAATTTAATTGTGGAAAATTTGAATAGAATTTATCCATGTTGAGAAGAAAACCAAAGTAGGGGGATCCATTTAGATCACCACTACAGAGGTAATATCTAGCATTCTCCAGAGAAGCCTATATATACAATTAAAACAGGAAAGAATTGGATAGATTTGATCCTCAATGAGAAAGGGACCCAAGGCGGGCAAAATTTTATTGACCTAAAGAAAAGATGAAAATATCAAAACTGAGATTGAATGAAACAAACAAAATACTAAATGCCGTTATATTTAAGCCACAAAAAAGAACATTGTCTGGTTCTAAATTCTGCAATGGATGAAAGCAGCTCACTTTCCTGAATACATATCTAAGAGAGAAAAAACAATGCCCTCTTCACTGTAGACCTCAAATTCTTGAGCATTAAAAAGAAACAGTTAAAAGCAATGCAGTAAATTTCTTACATTCTGGAGTAGCTGCAGGTACATCCCTGTGACATTATGCTCCCTCCACTTCTCTAAATCAATAACATTTAGTCCAGACATCCAGACACAAGAAGTTGCATTATGGTTATTTTTGCCCAGATATGCTTGCAGCTGTCCCAGTCTCATGCCACAAAACTCCATGGCACCATTCACTTTCCCTTCCATGTTAAGGCTCCATAGTGGTGATAGGTCACGTTGAACAACCACATCATCGTCCAAAACCACCACCTTCTTCAGACTCCTAAATATATCTGAAAGAAGAAAGTGTGAGTGACCAAATACTGATATGTACTCGGTTCTAATGTGTGCAGCTGGTTGGTCTTTTTTGTGGATAGAGACACGGAACTCTTCAGACAATGATAACTGCACTAGACCCTCCTTGAGATTCTGCAGGTTAGGCTCTTCGAGGTTGATGACATGAATGGTTGCCTCTTCAAAAGAGTGTCTGGCAAACCAGACTTTCATAGCATAGTAGTTTTGAGCATCGGTTACAATGTGAAAAATAATATTTCTAGTGACCTAATGAAACATGGACAAACAAGATAATCAATGGCTATAAGACATAATCCATTCCACAGAAGTACCTCAAAAGAAAAAAGGAACAGTTCCCATACCTTAGAATTCACCACTGTTGAATTTATAGCTACTGAAACTGCCAATACATTCCTCGAGAAAATGACGTAGTGAAATAATTTTGAGCTGCCAGTTTTGCTTGGTTGCAAGTGCTCCATATCCCTCGATGATGACTTAAAATATTCTACTGTTAACCTCATAGATAAACAATGGAGACTTTTGGGCATGGTATGAACACCAAGTTGATAGAGGAATGCACTCTGCATCATATGGAAATTGGCTTCATCCTCAGTGGAATCAAGTATTTGCCTGAGCTTTTTTTCAGGATAATTGCAATCTGTTGTGCATGTCTTGGCTCTTGCAATTGTTTGATCCATTCTATCTATCTTCTTTCCAACACTGACAACAAGAGAAAATGCTGTAAGTCTTTCGCCCTGACTAATATATTCCTAGTTGATCCATTCTACTCTTAGAAACTCAGGATGGCTGAGATGAGGATTCCAACCATCTATTAGTGCAACAATGGTACTCCTTGGATCTGACTGCTCAGTAAATAGATTCTCGCATAATAAGGTTTCATATGAACAACATCAAGACCATAAATAAAAATAAGGCATGTAATAGTAAAAGATGAAATTTCTAACAAAAACCAAAGCAAATCACTTACGCCGGTGGAAGATCTGTATCTAAAATAGCCACCATAAGCATGTGCTCATGATCCTGAATATTCTGCTTTATTTCACGTGTTAATTTCTCTTGCCCATGAAGTTTAGCTATGATTGGATAGTAAGCTCTGGCAATGAAAAGCTGATCTTTGAGTCTCTTCACATAAGAATCCTTCATTGCTTCTCTATTTTCTATGGACCAGAGGCAGTAACTCCCAAATTTAGGTTGACAAGGTCTTCCACTTTCATAACCCAGCAAACTGCCAAACTTGTTCTCGGTAGAACTGTCATTATTCTAAAGAATTATGCATACAAGTTATCCCGAAAATTATAAAGGTCAGAATGAGATTTATGGTGCCAAGTGCTTTCTTAAAATTCATTAATCTGAATATAAAATATAAAAAATAAAATTAGGGAATAATTAAAGTTAAGGAACTACCTTGCTGAGAATATTTTGTTCGGCAAAAGAGAGCTTAGTAACACATCAGATGTATTATTCAACTCATATTTACTTTTATTTAAGTTCATTTTAAACAAATGTAAGCAATTAAAACATGAATGTTTGCTGTTACTCGATAACAATATCTTACTCTAGCACTCAAAGTTGGAAGTGGTTCTGATGGAGCTAATTGTGATGTAGAATAAGCTGCACACAACAGACAACATAGAAAAGTCAACTCCTGTAAATGAAATAATAGAAGAAAGATCAAGCCAGCGAAGATAATATACATCATTGGTCGGTTTATAGTGGTCATCCCAACATAATCAGTGCCATTTTCAAGAAAACTGGTGCATTTTTGCACAACAATCCTTTCAGATTAGACCCCAGAGGATATTGTAATTACATAAACACCCGTTTAAAATACTGGGTGTCTTTCCATAAATGATTTTTCCATTATAGACATGCAAAAATATATCTTTAGCTTCATGGGTGCAAGTTTTTGCATATAAGTCCCTCAAAAGGGCATATGTAAAAAAAGCTTAAAATAGAGGATGCACATTAAAAATATATATAAAGGATATTTCAACAAAATTTATAGAATTTTGATGCAATTGTGAAGTTTTAGAGGGACACATTTTTAATTTTAATTGCATTAAATGTATATATTTCTTCCAATAAAACTCAACTCCTTATTACAAATATGAGGTGGTTAATGTCACAAATGCAAATTATGGGACTGAGAATTAAAATCCACATACCTTTCATTTGAGAGGTGACATCTTCTGATTTGTGGTGGCTCCTAGTATCTTTTTCTTCGTGAAATGTCACATTCACTGGTCGAAAGTTGGATGTAGTACTATTTCTCTTTGATGTGGATTGGACACCAAGGCTACTAAAATTGGTAATGTGATTATTCTTAACTTCCTGATGTTAAGCAATGAGAAAATTAACATTCTTATAGCAGCATCAGAAGTGTGGATGTTGTAAGCAACAAAAAAAACTGATCTAATTTAATAAAAGGAAAAGAAAACAATGCAAATTCTAAATAGTGGCGAACCACAAAATTTAATCTAGCTACTAAGGCCCAACTAGAAAATGCAGACCAATAATTGCTACTAATATGTTAACACAGTTGGCTATTAAATGTCTAAAAGTTCAAGATGAGGTTATTTTGCCCAAAAAAAAGTCAACTGTAACTACTTAAGCACTTCACAAAGCAGGTCCCCACAATTGAATTTAGCGCACACAGATACTCTTATGAAAATCTATATGAAGCACTTTACATCATTATTTGACTTCCTCAGAGGTGCAGAGTCAAAGGCTTCAAGTATTAAGCAATTGTTGTTAATATTGTACAACCAGTAGTATAAAAAAATAATCAAATCAATTTTTGTGCTTTACAAGGAGGGAAAAGTCTTTTGTCGATAATTTAGACTTCTTCAATGTTAAAATTTGGATGCCATCATTAATAATCTCGAACGGGAAGCCTTAGACTACCGCAAAATCACTTCACCTCTAGTTGTCAGCAATTTATGTCTTGATGCTATTTGAAACCAGGGAACTTGACTCATGATGTTTGTATAGTAGTGACTTGAATAAAAATATGCAACAACATTTTAAATTCTTAATTTTAATGATTTGTTTAATTATTGACTTTAATTCAAAAAGTTCTAGATGATTACAGAATTCTATTTTATGAAGGCCAGTGAGTTAGTGATTTTAGTTATTCCATTTCAATTGAACTATGAACCGTTACTGAAAACCTTAACCATTCTCTCCTCAATAGATAACTCAAACCACTAAGAAAAGTGAAATTCTAGTCAAGAAAACTGATAGCTAAACAGGCAACAAAACTCCATTTTCTGGTAGAGCTCCTACTGTGTCAGCTTAGAGAGAGTATGAATTAAAATACAAGATGCACCAAAACAGATAAATGCTTGGACTTTTGCTACTATGCTTGTGCTGTTTCATAAATATTAATTCTAGCATAGATACCATGATACATAGTGCTACCAAATTACACCCTAGGACAATGAACCTAGTGAATAGATACTCTGATAGGATCCTATAGATATATTATCCTTAAACATTATCTGGCGCACCACTACGAAATTTCACACAAGAGCATCGAATCCAGTGAATAAATACACTAAAAAGATCCTATCGATATGATGTAATAAATACAATGTACTTAAACATTACCCAAAGCATCTTAATTTAATTATAGATATCTCCTCTTTTTTTTTTGCTAATTAGGTACCATATAAGCAGTTAAATATGGGAACATCCTAAAACAAGTAAAGAATAACTTGAGGATCTTTTAACATCAATTTCAGACAACTTCAAATGGCTTCCAACTAATTCTGTAAAATGGACTTGAGCAGAATAATACAGCATGTAGGACTCTATTTGAACTTCGAACCTAGCTACATCGATTCATAAAGCTGCCCACGTTTGTAGCTGTGATCATAATCTGCTATGTCATTCTATATAACCATATCTCAGAATGGCCACCCTTGTGTACACAAATACAGATTATGAGATCATGCATGCACATTTTTATTTCTATATTTCTATAATCAACTAGAACGTTTTGAATTAAAGTCACAAATCTTTTATGTTTCTCGGATGCATTATAGACTCACCGAGGGCAAGAGATCGCCAGCCAATTTACCTGCAGAAACCACCGAAGCGGATAAAGACACTTAGGGTTTTTGAGAGACGGAACAAGAGAAACGACCCCTAACAGTGTCGGTGACTCACCCGAGCGGAAGTGGCTATGGATGCCGAGGAGGAAGGCGAGGGGGACAAGGAGCGAGAAGACGACGACGACGAGAGCGAGCACCGCCACAGCCGGCCCCTTCCACCGCCGCCTCGCAGGCGGAGCCGAAGCCGCCGCGAAGCCCCGCATCTCGGGTTCCCTCCAATCCCGAGTCTTGTATACGCTACACTCGGTTTGAGCCCAAATGCCGGAAGCTTTCCCCTCCTTTCCCCTTCGCTCCTTTAAATTTTCCCGTCTCCGAACGAAAACCGCCCAATTAAAAGGAGAAACAAAACCCAAAATAAAGAGCGCGGTAGTGTCCGACTCAGCATAAATAATAGTAATATATTATATGTTATAATAATTAGTTCTTGGTTTAAATTAATTAAATTGGTTTCGTTACCTCTAAATTTTCATTGAAATTGCCTGATAAATATACGGTTTTTATGTGGGCCAAATGTATAATGTTGGGCCGGCCCAAAAGTACTTTGGAACCAACATAGGTTATACCTTAGTGTGATGTATCCTATGGTAGATTCACACCGTAGCATATCCTGTGAACTTATTAACTTAAATGGATCATTTCCTTGAAGGAAACTTTTTCTTGGTTTTTTCCCAATATTTATTTTTATTTTTTTATTCTCATAAAATATTCTTTTTTTTTTTGTCTATCTCTTTTGTTACTTTCATCGTACCGACATTGTTTGCTCGCTACCTTCGTTTCCCCCTCTCATCATAAGTAGGACAAAGCACAACATTGTGATAATGGCAAAAGACAAAGGCAATAAATACAATAAGGGAAAAATAGAATAAAAGCAATTAATATGATGAGTAGGAAAAATATCGTAAGAAAGCAACGAGGCCTCTTAGTGAGAGAAGGAGCGAATGCGATAGACGCAATAAGTAGAAAAGAACCTCTTAGTGAGAGAAGGAGCGAATGCGATAGACACAATAAGTAGAAAATGACCTCTTAGTGAGAGAAGGAGCGAATGCGATAGACATAATAAATAGAAAAAGACAAATGACGCCAACGAATGTGGCAAGTGAAAAAAGGATGGATATTTACTGAATTATAAAAAATATGAGATATTACCTAAGAAAAATACAAATATGAGCATTATTTGAAAAAATATATATATAACTTTTATAGAAAAATCACCCAATTAAGTTGGAGATCATAATAATATATTGATCAAGCTTATATAAATCAATTTTAGTTTTCTTTCACTTCCAATAAAACTAAACCAGGAAACTATACATTTAATGTCACTACTACGCAAATACTTTCAATAAGATATATATTTGAGAGAAGAATTTCTCACCTCACCTATTTCATCTTTGGCATGAGCATATTTTTGTTGATGGAAAACACCCATTTCATTCAAATCTGACCAACCCACTGACATCTTCCCCAACATTTTTTATAATGTCACTACAGGATATCTATCATCTCTGACATAGTTTAGGACATATCATCACATTTTTGTTGTGCCAAGTTTCTGATGATTGAAGACCAACCTCTCATTGGTCAGAATAGGAAGGAAGAAGAATGATTGACATGTCCCTTCTAGAGATCATCGTCCTCCCATCACTTCTTCTCTGTGGAAGACCACAAGGATGTCACCCCCTGAAAACTACATGATTCCTTCAACAGCTTCCACAGCATGCTAAAAGGAACTATAAGATCTCGACATCTTCTTCAACACCATTCACTCTTTACTCCTTCCAAATTCTTCCAATATTTTCTTTTAGCTGTCATGCCTCCCCATCCACGAGGAGAAATCTCTAAAGGTGTTGCACGCACTTGATGTATAAACCACATGTTGCAACACTCCATCTAGTTTATATGCACCGTAATGCTTGCGGCTATATACCACACATTCTGCAGGAGATGAACATAGTAATGCTTGCAAAGATCAATAGACTAGTAAACATTGTGTTACTGTCTTGACACTTTTAACTGGGAATTGCACTGGCTGCTCTTTCTTGGCCTTGCAGCTACTGCATAAATTCGTGTTTAGCTCCTTTCGCTGGAGAAGTCACAGGAGGCGGATCCTCGCTCTTATAGGTAGGTGTTGATTAGATTCTTTTCAGAGAGTCATAAGTTACATTCCCGAGTGTGCAATGCCGACAAAATCCATGTGAGATCAAGTACCCACTTAAGAGCAATATCTGCAAAGGCAAGGAATGATGCGAAAAAGGAAGTGCTCTAACAGACATCTCTGGTGCTTCTTAATGAAACTTGAATCTGCCTTGATTGTTCAGTAGATGTATCCATCAACATAGGTGAAGAAGGTTAGTGCAGCCTTTCTGCTGAACAGCAATTCTCAGTAGTTGATCTTTGCTAACTACATTCCACAAAGGTAAAGCTCCCTCCAAGAGAGCTGCCTGCAAAGACAAGCAATGATCCTGGGGCTGCAAAAAGCTGTTTCCAGACAAACATCTATGAAGCTTCTTAGTGAAGGTTGAATCTATATTTAGGGTTCAGTAAATGTAATCAGTGAGGAAGACTACTTTTTTCATTACATTATCACACGATCTAAATCCTAGCAACCTTTCTAACTCGCTTGATACAGGAAAGGATTTATTTGGCCCATGCATGAACAAAATCTCAAGCTTGTTTTGTTGTGAGGAAAGGAAAGGATTGGTTTGAATCACCAAGGCACAAGCAGCTGTGCATGAACAAACAAACAAACAGGTTCAGTGGATTTTGTTGTGCAGGCACCACCACCATCCCCTCCTCCTCCCTCTTTTCCTCTTTACCTGGAGATAGCATGTGCATGCATCATTTTCATAGTTGTTAACATTTGCACTGCCATCTCCCCACCACCACCACCCCCTCCTGCCTTCACATGGTGTAGTGTTCCCAGCAATTGTCTTTTACAATATTCCTTAGATAAAGACTTCAACTACAGCACTTAGGGACCATGAAGTGCTACAACCAATGGGATCTTGACGCATAGAACAAGCTTCATTTTACTTCCTTTCCTAGATTTTGTTTCTTCTGCAAAAGTTGGAATCCTGTTCTCATTCTTTCGATTGCCACCACTGTGACATATTGCTTGCACAGTTGACTTTTCCTGCCTACATTTTCCATTTAAAGTTAATCTATGAGGTCATGTATAGTTTAAGGTTGCACTAATAAGAAGACTGTTAGCTTTGGTTGACCTTTATTTAGCTTTGGGTGCACTAATAATTTATCTTTTACTCTCATGATGCATCTTGTTCATTGGCAATTGGATCCATTTAAACTAAAAATTAGAAGATGATAACATTATTTTATAAGCATGACTTGGTGAGCTCTAATAGTCTTTAACTACAGTACTGTTAGTAAATTCATGCTATCTAATTGGCACTCTTTGTCTAAGCTTTGATTGACTTTTATCTTCAGTGCTCAGTCCACTACAGCAGTGGACTTTTTTGTTACAGCTAACATATTTTAGTGTGTTGCTTGAAAAAGTTAACTTTGTAAAGTAATTCTCTGAACTTAGATGGGTCATTAAGCTTCCACCACACAAGTAGAAGAGGTTTTAGATTCATATAAGTAAAAATAATGGTTTGCCTTGAATAAACACAAGGCATCTAGGATAGGCTTTAATATTTCCCTAGTAATTATATATATGTTATGTGAGGAATCATCAGTTTTAGTACCTAATCTGGTGCTTTCAAATCCAGAAATGCAGACAAGAATGTGCCATCTAATCAGCAAGTGATTCATGGTAAATTAAAGAAAATTAGGCCAGAATATGATCTTCTTACCATGAGGTCAAGCTTGCAAATAAATGAGGGAATAAAACTAATTTTACAGAAAACTAGTTTGATAACATTTTTAGGTAGAACACAATCCAATAACATGAGGTCAAGTTTCATAATCTTTTCATAAATTACATTATAAGATTGCATGATAAATAAATCATTATGGATCCATTATAAGTCTTATAACTATAATATTAATCTGTTAGTAATATATCTAACTTATATTAGTTTGAGAGCCTGAAATCTCATCATATAATTCATTATGTACTATTTGCACACAAAAAAAAAGGTAGAATTTCTCTCAACAGTTGTGTTAATTTGGCTTGATATCATATGATCATGAGTTCTAAGCTAATAAGCAATTACAGAATAATCTAAACTTACATTTAAGGAAGAGGATTGCCGGACAATACAACAGATGGCAAAAGGAAGAGAAGAGAGAGTTGCATTTGGCATTCTAACTTGCAAAGCAATTTGATTGGTTGATGATGGCCATTGTGGAGTAAAGATTCACTCATTTCATCACCCACTTAATGCCTTAGAGAATTCCTCAGTGGGCACACGAATATATTCTTTATCAAGGAGCATTATATGTATATTCCAAATCGGTGTCGTCGTCCCAACATTGGAATCGATTGGAGGTAACCTTTACCTGTTTTATTTGTCACCACCTAAGTAAAATAATCCAATTCATGGCCGACCTAAAATTAATGGAATCGAGTTCCCAATCAATAAAGCAATAGGTTAAAATCGAACACTTGCAATCTTTTTGGAACATGAATCGGGTCCCGTATCAACAAAGCAGTGCCTATTTTTAAGATCCAATTTTGATTTCTATTTCACTTTTAGAAACAAATGTAATGTCCTTTTGTTTTCATGCTTCATATGATTAATAGATTGAAAAAAATCAATTAAGAATAATTCTTTTATGTAGTTTTATCTCTAGAAAATAAAAACTAATTTTGTTAGTGTGAGTATTTGGCACTCATGAAAAAAAAAATCAAATTTACTATCACATTGATGGAAAATATTTATCTCCTAATCGCCGATCGGATCACATCAGAATTCATCGAATATAAATTATTCAAAGAATATTTTTTATACCTTATCAAATATTATTCTCATAGCTACAACAACATAAAGTCAACTATAAAAGTTGAATTAAATTATGATTATCGAGATTTGATTATTTAGACTCTCAATTTATTATATTTAAAATCTGAATTAAGGGTCAAAGGATATGAATCTGAGTCGATATCGATTTTAATGCAAGTTAGCTTCACGGATTCTCCATATTATATCAAATTTATAAATTTATAAATTATTTTCTTCTCTTTCTATTAAGATACAAAGATTGGAAATACTTACAAGCATATACATATAAATTCCCTCCAATTGGTTAATTACTTTTAATTTTTCAGTACTTTTTAATAACCTCAAATTCTCTCTCTCTCTCTCTCTCTCACATCAAGAATTAAGTATGCTAATAGAGTGCTCAACTATTGTTTATTTGACTATTGGACTAGCAAGCAACATTATATCTAAATCACAATGAATTAGAGAATCCCCATTTAATTAGCACCAGGTTCCCTTATTACTATTATTACTGTTAATCTAAACCCTCCTCAATTAACTACATAATCCTTCCGTTAGTGCTCCAGTGCCGCAGAGGATGTCATCCTCACCTGCCTCACACGTGCGTTCTCGTCCGTTGAACCTATATATGTCGCACATTTGCTCATCCATGCCATCATAGCTCTCGCCTGCGAGCTCATTCGTCTCCTCCTCTTCCTCGATCGCTCTCGGTTCTCGACGAAGATGACGAAGGTGCACCCCAACGCGGCGGCGGCGGCGGTCGCGGAGCTGCGTAGGGCTGAGTTCCCCTGCGCCGGCGGGGCGAGGGCCACGGAGGCGGAGGTGCTCACCGTGTGGCGGAAGTCGCTCCTCTTCAACGGGAATGGGTTCACGGTGTACGACTCCAAGGGGAACTTGGTGTTTCGAGTCGATAACTACTCCGCGGGGAGTAGAGGTGAGGTCGTTCTCATGGACGCCGCCGGGAGGCCGCTGCTCACGATCCGGAGGAAGGTACGGAAAAGGGGCTGATCTCTGGATCTGGAAGTGTGTGTTGTTGGGTTTTCGATGATAGGGTTCTTGAATTCGTTCCTAATTGATTTCTGGCCCATTTTTGTGGATCTGCAACTTTTGTTTCTGTCGCTTGTTTTCGAAAAGTGTGAATTGAAATAAAGAATTGCCTCCTCAAAACACTTAAAAAAGATTTTTCTTAAAAATGAAAAGCAAAGAATATTGCTCCTTTTTTTTTTGTCTAATATTGTAGTTTGTGGGAATATATACATTTATTTTTTTAATAAGAAAATTTGTCTGAAAATATTTAAAGCTAAAAATCTGAAATAGCAGTATGTGTTTGATAGTATGCCGAACATTTTGGCTCATGACACTTCATTTGTACATGCAGAAGCTTAGCCTCGGTGACCACTGGCTAATTTACAACGGCGAGGAGGCCGTCAATCCCCGGTTTGCTGTCAAGAAGCACGCAGGCCTCCTGCACTCCAAGGCGCTGGCACGGGTGACCCCCTGCGGCTCCGGCGCCAAGTCGTGCCTTGCCTATGACATCGAGGGCTCCTACTCGCACCGCTGCTGTGCCGTCTACGACGACAGGCGGCAGCAGTTGGCGGAGATCAAGAGGAAGGAGTCTGTCCACGGCATCACCCTTGGCCACGACGTGTTCCGCCTGATCGTGCAGCCAGGTCTCGACGCATCCTTTGCCATGGCCATGGTGATACTCCTGGAGCAGATGTTTGGGTCTCGAGGATCCCTGCTCAAAGGTTAGATTGCTCTATGGCTATTGGGCTTGCGTTTACAAGGTTGGTGGGCTCTCTTGGGCATCCATCTCATGTGAAGCAATACATGTAGTCAATAACATGAGATGAGATGGAAGAAGAGCAAAAAAAAAAAAGGGCAGAGAGGGAAATCATCCTTTTTGTTGTTTCCTTTACTTCTGTATGAAGAGAACATAGGGATAGGATTGCAGCTATTGGGATATGCTAATCTTAAAGACAAGGCCACTTGATGCATATAAAATCATATTACAGCGATGAGTTGGTAAAGCTGCTTTAGGCCAGCCATCTTCAAACAACCTTAAAAGACCAGATGACCTCATGGGCTCAGAACACCATCTTCACCCCCTTCCAATTTGATGCCATCACCATTTCCCCTTCTTATATGAAGAAGAAAAGGGTCAAATTGTAGAATTGAAAGAAGCTGGATTAAATAATGGATTTTTTAATAAAAATTATTTTAATAGCTGTAAGTCAAATATTCCATAAAATCCTTTCTAATATTTCATATAAAAGATGTGAATTGGTAAAATCTTTTAAGAAGTGACTAAATCGTCTCAAGAACAATTTATTATATCTTCAAGTGACACAGTGTTGAATAGCTGATCATTTGAACCTCGTGATTAGTATAGTCAATTAACGTGGGCATTAGGTGCAACAAACATCATGTTATATTCATCTGAAAGGCTGCATGTTCAAGTCATTCAATTTAATAATACATTTCAATTTCAGGATCCAAACATTTGAGAGTACTAAGAAAATATTCAAGTCATTCAATTTCATAATTCATAAAATCTATGCAGTTTAAATTTATATACCACATCACTCGATGAATCGTAAAATCTAAAGTCAACTCACCCAAACAATAACCACCTCATAAATTCATAAGTGTGATATTCTATACAATCACAAAAAATCAATGTTTCACACGTGTTCATATCATTACACAAATTTACTTAACATTCCAAAATCCTAAACATGAGAGGTTCTTTAAACTTTTACAAAACTCATAAGTTAATATTTACCATCAACATTCCATCAAACACCAAGTGTACTTATACAACAAAAATATGTCATTCCCTAAATGTTTGCCAGCTTTCTACTATCGTAGTTCAATTTAAACATTCTAACAAACGACAAGCTATCCTGAAAATTTTATATACAACGGGGTGAGCACATAGAGCTTAGCAAGCGACTAACATATCAATGGCGAAAAAGGATAGTTTCAAAGAAAATAATATACCAAATACAAGGCAGGAATACAAGAGTTCATAGATAGCCGCTCAACGAATGTAGAATTACAATGTCATTTCATTTGAAGCATGTTTTGTTCATAACAAGGGAGTAAAGATTAGTTGGAGCAAATCATTGACGTAATGAAACATTTTGAAACATATCAATGGCAGATGAAATGCTTCAGAATATATCAATGGCATATGAAGTATTTCGAAGTATATCAATGGCATATGAAGCATTTCGGAGCATATCAAGAATGTATGAAATGTTTCAGAGCATATCAATAATAAATAAAACATTTCGGAATATATCAATGATGGATGAAATGCTTCGGAATATATCAATGACATATGAAGTATTTCAGAGCATATTAAAGAACAAATACAAAATAGAAGCTCAAACGTCGCATTTGACGTTGCACACATTTCGTTCTTATCCAAAACACATATAAGCACATAACCAAAGCTTTGGATATTAAATCAAACAGATAGAGGGTGAAGCGAGATCTTCATAGGGTGATAGTGATGGACACAATGAGTGGGGAAAGGCGCATAGAGGCAGAGGTGACAAGTGCCACAGGCATAGAATGAATGGAAGCTACAAAAGTGAGGAAAGAATACATCACAAAAAATGGTGCGTCGTCGCTTCATGCACTGTATGGATCATCACTAGAGAGGAGGACATCTGACCTCCTTCATCCATGAACTTAGATTTATATTTTCAGGGATATACGATCTCCCCTAGGTGAAAACATCTCACGAATCTTACGTAATTTTTCGGTTTGTTGAGTTTTTGCTCCCAATTGTCACACGACGTTCCTATACCATTCTTTTGGGAACTTGTTTCTGTTTTCTATTTTTTGTTACACATATAATGCTCCTTAAGATTTCCTAATACTACAGGACCTGAGCGAGGTTCCAAATTGGCTAACCCTTTATGGATGCATATCGCAAGGGTGTGTTATGACTTAGGTAGTCTCATATAAGTTCGAGAAGTTGGCGCAAAGGTGCATCATAACTTAGACAACTCCAGCTAAGTTTGTGACTTTGCTGTAATAGTGCCTCACTACTTAGATAATTTCAACTAAGTCCGTGATAGTCAGGCCCAAGTGGTAGTATCGCTTTAGTTAGTCGATAAGCATTGTTTATGCTTTATCAACCTTTTCGATGGTGGTACTACCTATGGTAGTGATAGTACTGCCTAGATTGATGATAGTATCATTAAAGTCTAGATTTGTAGCATAGTTACAATGCTAGTACTGCCCAATGCTAGCGATATTATCGCCCATTGAAATTTCAAAGATTTAAAATTTTGACTTTATTCTTAAAGTCTTTTAGGCTTGTAAATACCACATTTGGTTGATGGAGCATCTATTCATGAGCTCTTATTTTGAAATATTGTAAACTCTTGGTTGATTTAAAATATTGTAAGCTCTTATTTTGAATATTGTTTGAGTCTCTTTCCCCTCTTGAATTTAATTTTAATTCTAAATTATAAAAGGTAAGAGATCTTATATAAAAAGAGAGTATGAAAGTTATCTCTTAAGCAAACAAAAATGATAAAGTTATAATAATGATAGTTAACCTTTGTCTATTAGAAAAAAAAAATGATAGTAAAAACCGATGACCGTGAGGGAAGATGAATCAGGAATTAACATAGGTTAGAAAGACAAAACCATTGTAAATTAGTTTCTCTTTTTACTTGTTAAGTTAGTTTTATTCTCTTTGAAATTTTAACTCGATTATTTAAGTTTTTGAAACGTGTTGATTTATCGATTGACTTTTAAAATCGATTAAAAATACTGTTACACTAATTCATTCTCTCTCTCAGTGCCATTAAGATTATAAAAGAATACCCTCAATTTAGTTTTTGTTGGCTAGATGCATTGTAAACCATGACCTAGATTAAGACTAACTCGACCTAAATCTTGGTTGAATCTGAATTGTCTTTCTAGTTAGGATAATCAAAATCTATAATAATACTATTTTAACCAGATTAGATAGAAAAACTTAACCTTAACAAATGACACAAAATAAAAACAAAATAAAAGAAACATATAGACAAACAATGAATACCTAATCAGCACATGTTTGAATTCAATAGGCAAAAGACAAAAATAAAAAGGATCAAATCACGTATTAGATAAAATCACTTCACTAATCAATTCATGCTAGTCATGCCCAATGTTCAACTAGGCCAACTCAATCAAGCCCTTGCCAGTTAGGCTCTCTCGCACAATCATGCCCTAGCCCAAGCCCAAGTGTGGCCCAAGCACAT